GAGGGGGAGGAGGCGGCCGAAGGGATCTGATAGGTTCGGACTTTTCTTTTATTCATGAGGAGGGAAGGGGGCCAGGACGGAAGGGGGCGAAGGACCAGTAACGAAAAGAAATCGCCCACGGATATTTTTTATCCTCTTTTCTAATCCCTGGCTCGACCTCATTTTGGGGGGAAGGAGTTGAACTGCTCGCCAGGGATCGAGGCCTCTGGAGCTGGGGATCCCGAGAGAAGTGGAGGGGGCAACTTTCTCCAAGAGTCTCCTTTTGGTGAAGGGGCCAGATCCACCTGGTCCCCGGTCCCGGGTGGCCCACGCTGCTCCGGCTGTCTATAACCTTTTCTCCGGCCTCCCGGGGTAGGGTCCACGTTATCTCTCAGCTTCTGCCTCCTCTGGTTCACCCACCCCGAAAAATCCTCTGGTGGGACGCACCGGGAAAGGGCCGGGGTGACATCGAAGAGGGATTATGACTGCAAGATAATGTCAGAGCCCTGGTGTACGGCTTTTGGCTGACCTCTCCAGGTTCTAAGAAGCCCAGAGCGACCTTATCTGGGCGTAACGCTAGGACCCTGGGTCTGCCCAGGGTGAGGGATGCGATGCTGCCTTTTCTCCCCAAAGGGTGTGAACGGCCTCCTCCCTTTAAGCCACCGGGCTACAGCCCCAAGACCTCTTTCCAGGAGGTAGTTGGGTGTCCTGAGGCGGTGCAGCAAGGCTGTACTGCGGACCTGGGGTCCAAAGGGGTGGAAGGTGGTCTGGGAGGGAGCCCTTAGAAATTACTACCAACTCAGCTCCTTTGCTCCAGGGGCTGTCAGGACCCCAGTTAAACGGTCAGGAGAGGGACTTGATCTCACGTCCCACAACTCTGGGCTTTGGAGGCCTCAGGATCAGCAGCCCCACACTCTGGACACGGATTCCTGGGGACAAAACGCCCTCCCAGCGGGGCAGGACGCCACAACCGCAAGCCTTTTGTCTCCCGGGGGAAAGAGCGTCTCTGGCCGAGTGCTGGAGGCAAAAAGCAATACAATAAACCTAGGCCTCAAACGCCCCCTGCCCGCCCTCTCCTGGAGGAGGGGTCAGTCCTACGTTGGCCCGGGGGTCTGTCTTTAGGCTGGCCCCAGTGTGTCCCCTCCTCCCCTTCCCACCTGTGACCTTTACCCCTCTCTGCGAGTGACAGACCCTCTCTCCCAGCACCAGGGCTTATCAGACTCTGGGGGGCTTCCCAGGAATGGGGTTTGGAGACCCTATGAGAACCTTGTGAAGCACAAGCTTCAAGAGTTGAACAGGGCAGAACAGTTAGTCCTGGCATTGGAAAAGTGAATTCAGGGAGTGGGGCGCCTTGCTTAGATCAGGGTGCCAGGCTGCTGGAGTTATGGGGGCCTTTCCCAAGAGAGATGGGGAGACTGAGCTTCAAACCTTGGCATGTGTCCAGGAAAGATTTGCTGGCCAGCTTGGCCTGCCTTGCCTCCCCTCAGGTGGGCGGATGTTTCCTGTGTGTGTGCGCGCGCGCGTGCACACACACACACACACACACATATGATACATATTGCATATTCGTCCATTCGTCTGGTTTTCACCAATTCCCTTATGAGGGGTCTTAGCCCCTCTTTGTGTTGTGGAATGGCCCAGTGTGCTTAGGAGTGAGTACGGGGTCCTAACCCAGCCCCTTGGTGTCCAGGTGTAGGCCAGTTTGGGTCAGTCCGACTAAATGTGGGTTCCTAAGTGGGGGGGTCTGCCTGTGTGTCCATTCTGGAGTCGCATTCACTTTGCCTTAACAAGGCTCTTGGTGCAGTTTGGGCAGGTGTGCATGTGTGTTTGGGTCAGATCCTCCCCCAGCAAGAAGGGACTGACCCCCTCAGACGCCCAGATGCCCAGGCTGGAAGGCTCCTTTCCCCTGCACAGACGTTACAGCCAGCGTCCTTGCGTCTCCCACCTCAGGGACTCCGGGAACTGTGTCTTATGCTTGGGACACCTTGCCCTAGGGGTGAAACCCCACCCTCTGCCTCCGAAGACACTGCTGCAGGTCCACTCTTGACCCAAGTGGGACTCACTGGCTGCCAGCCCTGTGTTCCTGCAGCTCGGGGATTCCGTGGGCCCTGGCGGGGCTGTGTAGGGGGAGGAAGCGGGGTTGTCTGTTAGAATGAGCGTGGCGGTTCTCGCCTGTTGGAGACCAATTTCACAAATGATTTTTGCAACAATTAAGAAGTGTGGCGGGGTGAAATGGCGATTTCACATCCAGCAGGGGAAAGGGGGGTTCACCTGGGGACTCGGATGGCTGCAGCTGGGGTGGGGTGGGAGGCTCTGCCGATCCTCTCATGCCCCCGAGCTAACCCTCTTGTCCAAATTCACTCCCAGCTCTGAGGACCGCCACTCGCTTCTGTGAGGGAGGGCTCCAGCCTGGCGGTCTCCGTAGGGCAGGATTTGCCTCACGGAGATTTTCCTCTAGCCCTGCGCACCCTCCCTACCTCTTCCTCCCTTCCTCCCTTCTGTCTGCCACACACACACACATCTCCCTCTC